GTTCAGCTCTTGGCGGATGAACCCTCTTACGCATTTCAAGTACGAGTTCATGTCGTGATCTCGTTGGATGGTTCCCCCCGACCCATAGGCAGAGCGGTCTCGTAGAATCTCGAGCGGGTGAGGTGAGTTTAGGAACACAGCCTTTGCATCTCGGAGCTGCTTCTCTGCTTGATCATTGAGGTCTGATAATGGACGGCTTAGAAGGTATAGACCAATGCCTGAGGGAAGAAGTTCATGGCTCGGAGAGAATTTCTCGTCCGGCTGTAGAATCAAAAAGTCCCCCATTGGAGCATACAACAGCTTCTGTTGCGCACAAATAAACGAAATAAGAGTCAAACATTTTAACTGCAGGACTAAAAATTTGTCTTTTCGCTTAGTAAATGAAAACTACATCTCAATGCGCTGACCAAGAAAAAAGTAACAATTATTTTCTAATAACACAAATATTAAATGAAGTTCATGTACAAGATTTAAAAGTCATTTTCAATTAACTTGTTCGAAAAATTACATTTTATGGCTTTGACTAAAAGCTTACATTTTGGACCCAGAACCGAAAGCAGTTTCAAGGAAACTATACCAAACAAATTCATACGAGCACAAGAACAAGGATAAACTTAAAGGAGACAGCTTGTACCTGGCTATTGAGACAAGGATGATTCCTGAAGTTCCCATTGACAGCCTTGAGAAACTCCGCCACATGATTAGGGTAATTGCAAGAGAAGGCTCTAGGGACGATATCCCTGTGCATTGTGACTGCCTGAACATGACTTCGCGGCAATCCTAGCTTGCGAAGAAGATTATCGCCTCCGCACATGACGGATGGTGCACCAAAAGTTATCACAGGTAGTAAGGAGGAAACTGGTGCCTCGTTCCGTATCAGCAGCATGAGATTTATTAGTAATGCTAAACTTCCCCCAAGGGAATGGCCAGTGAAACGGAACCTCGCCCGGTCTCCGTGGGATTTCAGATGCGCTTGGACTTCAGGCAGCATCTGTTCATACATCCCTTTCGCAGCCTCGTAAATACCTCTATGCACAATCACATCAAGCCCCTGAACAAGAAGAAACAGAGTTCATAAAATTAGGCTTTCATTCGAACTTTAATTAAAATTAAAACAAACACATAAGTTAGTACAGCCAACAATCACTTGATTTCTTACCTCAAACTGAATTGGCTCAAAGAGTAAATTTGCTTGCCAGGAAGCAAGAGTCTCGGACCCCTGTACATTCACACAAGGACGATCAGATACACAAAAGACAAGACACACATTACGAAACATGGAAAGCTACTAATTCCTAAATCTCCTAACCTGAATGACAAAAAATCTTGTGCCACTCTGATCATCGTCGCACACAAACCACTCACAAGGTGAAGAATGCGTCGAATTCAAATCGTCTGCGACAGCCTGCTTCACTTCTTCCTTCGCGGCAACTACCGCGGTAACGGAATCTGTGGTAGCCATCAGCGAAACCATTTCTGAGTTTGTCATCCTACTACCACTGCTTTCTTCACGCGAATCTTCCCCAACCTCGCTTTTTGAGGATTTAAAGGGAAGTATGCTGGTGGTATGAGAATGCAGGTAAGAAGCTGCAGATGCAGCAACCTGGTAAGCCGTCGATGCGCTTATTTGGTGACCATTGTTTTTCTGAGTTTCCACTTCCTTGGTGTCTGATTCTTTTGTATATTGACCGTTGTTTTTCTGAGTTTCCACTTCCTTGGTGTCTGATTCTTTTGTATCACTTAGTTGTTCTTGAATTTCAGCCAACTCCTGATTTTTCTCAGTTTTTGCTGCCAATTCCCTTTTGTCTATCGACGAAGTCACGAAACGCAGACCGTAACATCTTAGCAGGTTTCCTGGCTGAATTAACAAAGCAAAAATAGATTAACACTAACCCAAATAATCATTTACTCTTAAGAATTCTTAGGTAGAAGAAGGAATTGAAACAAGCCAAAAGTCAACGTGAGAAGTATATTATATTATGAGGCAATCTTCTTCACATCATTAATAAAGCTTGTTGGTGCTAATGAAAGTCCTCGCCTTTTGACAAATAAAATATCCATGATCTATAATAATCCAGAAACTCCTTAAAAAGAAGCAATTTTGTATTGAAAGTAAACATAACGTCAGAAGAACTTTCTGTAATCAGACTTCAAAAGTTTCCATCCGTTTCAGACCATGCAGATGATTTACGGAGCTAATTCAGTTCAGATCAGCTCCTAATTAAAAATATGAGATCTAATTAGCAGCCATGTGAACCAAATCTCCTTAATTCCTTAATTCTGGGGAAAGGAATAAGCTTTCCTTCTTTGAATGTATCAAATATTCATAAACTCATCAACAAGAAAAAAGCCTCAAATCAGGACAAAACCAGATCGGAAATGTAGAAAAATTTACCTGGATTTTGGGAATGCAATAAGCCAAGTTCCCCAAATAGGACATTTGAGCGAACAATCTGGCCTCGGCTAACGACACTTTCCGAAGCAATCTCGAAAACGAATCTCTATCAAATTCAGCCTCTTTTTCGTCATCATCTTCTACTCTACAACCATCACATCCCTCACCGTCATCTTCATCTCCACCGTCCGATCCTTTTCTCCGATCATCATCAGCATTCTCCTCCTCCTGCAGCGTACCACAACTCTTCCCCTGTTCCTCATCCCTCCATAGCGACCTCACATGCAAAATCTTCAAAATCCAGTTTCCAGTCTCGACCTTCTCATCCTCGCTCACCTTCTCCTCAACGTCCTCCACCAAAACGGCGTCGTCGAGCGCCATTCCACCGCATCTACCTTCTCCTCCTCGTCCTCCTCCACCTCCTCCTCCTCTTCCAGGCCAGAACGATTTCAACGGATACTTGAACGAGAATCTCGAAAACGGCGTCGTATTCTTCGTCGTTGTCGTTGCCGTTGATTTCCCCACCGCGCTCACCTGAGACGGATTAGTACGGACCTCGAGGCCTCCTCCGGCCACCGAGATCGGCGGCGTTATTGCATGAATCCCTGTTTTCAGACACAAACTATCCATTTCTTTTTGTAATACTCCTGTTTCTGAAATTCTTCTGTTTTGTTTGAGATTTCTACGTTCCTTGCTATTTACGAAACAAAGAAACGTGGAAGATTGTAATTGTATCAGTGTTAGACAAGCGCAAACTTGCGTTCACGGCCTTTATTAATTTCTTCTGCTTCTTCTTTCCTTCGAAATGCAAAAGGCAAAGATGAGAGAGAGCTGATTATTATTCAGAGCAAAAAAATGAAAAGCACGCGTTTCCAACCAAAACGGTTCACCAACTATCACACCCTTTTTAACGATCCCGAATTTAATAATAATAATAATAATTTTGAAAAAAAGAATACTCAATTCGGGTAAAACGGGTTAGAAAAATCGGTAGATTCTTTAAGTCGATGAAAGTTCTTTTTTTTTTTTGGTTTTTTTTTCAATTTAGGTTCTACTAAAACGCGGTCGTTTCGGTCTCGCAATTGAATTCTTCTTCGAATCTCCATGTCACGTGCGTGGGGGAAGCCTTCGCAGTGCTGCGCACAGCATGAAAATTCGTGAGAAAGCTCGTAGCGGGACCCACCACAATCTGTACTGTCTGTGTTCCCGAAAAGTATCAGGATGTTGCCACGTCATCTGGACCTGGCTGGATGTAGATGAACTAACAAAAATGAATTTTACGTGTCTAAAACTGACGTGTCGTCGATGCCTTTTTTTTTTTTTCCCTCAATCTTACCGTAGACACGTGTATTGTGGATAAACACGTTACACGTACGTGGTTGAGTACCGTAAAGCACGACAGTTCCTATCACCGTGCGACAGCTGTCTCGCTTAAGACAGCGGAACCAGCGTTTGGTTCTGCGCTTAAGACAAAAGCGATAATTAGATTTGCACGGCAATAAGATTTGATTGAATAGTTCCGCTGTTGTATACAATAATTTTATTTTAACCAATCTTATTTTCTTAAGGTTTGTATTGATTTACATATTTTTTGTGATTTGATTTGAAATTTGACTCTTTATATATTTCCATAACTATGATGGGAAATGACAAATCATGTTATATTTAAGTTAAATTTTGGGTATGCATGCCAAATTAGGTGAATTTAGATGGAAGAGCATGAGTTATAGTCTACAAAATATCCCAGCCTAAATTTAATGTGTCCTAAAGTAGATGGAAGTTGTGTGGACCTCATGAACAATTTATCTCTTTCTTTTTTTTTCTTTTTTTTTTTTTTCATGTGTCGACATGCATTAACAACTTCTTTCCGAGTCTTTTTTGTTTTTTTGTTTTTGTTTTTTTTACTTATCGAGGTACAAGTTGGTTCGAGTTTTAAATTTTGATGCATATGTCATGCTTCAACATTTATTATTTGTGAGTTTTCCGATTGTTATAAAATCATGCGTTTGTATGATTTTATTCCTCATAAATTTGACATTTATTATTTTATTTAAGAGTTTTTCAAAACGCACACTTTTTCAATTTAATTTGGGTGGAGAATCATGCAATCGTGACAAAAGTTTTCATCTATTTATAAACAAGATATAAATATGGATCTTTTTTTTTTCTTTTGGTTTGTGACAAAGTTGCCAACGAACTTGTTAAGATTTAGGTAATTACCCCTTAAATTTTTAATTTTGACAATTAACATTTAAATTTATAAAATTATTACAAACACCTCATTGTACTAAATTTGCTAAAATTTTTATTATATTTAAGGGATTAAAAATTAAGAAATTAAACAATTAATAGTACTTTTAAATTGAGACGTTAGAATTTTACATTAAACGTGTTTTTTCAATATTAATTTAACAAATTATCGTTAAAATATAATATATTGTAATAATTTTATAAATTGAGAGAGTAATTTTTTAAAATTATAATTACAAAAGACATTATTAAAATCATAAAAATTCAGAAGACAAATGTGTAAAATACTTTTTTTTATTTTTATTTTTTTAGAGTGTATATGGATATCATTTAAAACTTGATACATACAAAATCAAATGTCTACAAAATGAATCACATTTCAACAAATAGAATTTAGAATGAGATGTAAGTATGTGGTCGGTAGAGGGGCAGGGATGTTTCCTCCTTCCCCGTTCCCCAAGGCCCAAGCCGACCTCAACTCGAGGACTTGCAAGAGATTCTAAATAAAAAGCAAGACGAAAAATAAAGAATAAGTTATATTTTATTATTTTAATATGAATGATGCTAAGAATATTAACATCAATATTAATTATTGTGTACTAATTGATGTGTTATATGAGTTAATATTTTTTTATTAATATATGTAATATTTTTTTATTAATTAACGAAGCAATATTTTAAATATCTATTAATGTAAAAATAACAATTTATATGTCATATCAGTTGATACATAAAAATTAAAATTTGAATTGATCTGTCTAGCATTAAGAATAAAATGTATTAAGAATATTTAAAAAATCATGAAAAAAGTCAAATAGCATTAAATTTTTTAAAACCCGCTATTAGAAAATGCTTACTTTTTTATTTTACTACTCATAGAAGAATATTTTGTAAATGACAAACTTTGACGATCTTCTTTTATGTAAATTATTATGAATAATTATTATAACTAATGATATTTTTTACAATGCATCTTGCAAGGATTTATGATTACTCGAATATTTTGACGATGAATGCAGAAAATTTTAGGAAAAAAATTTAAAATAAGTTGTTATTTTTGTCTAACACTATATTCAAAAGTAGTACCGTATAAAAAAATCATAAAATTGAAACCGACTGAAGAATTAATCGTTCAAAATTAAAAATGACGGTGTCATGTGGAACCGAATATAATCGATTCGGTTAACCGACCGAACTGCCTCAACGGCAGTTCGGTTTCGGTTTTGCGTTTAGTGGTTCGGTTAAAAACCGATGACCGAGTTGGGGATTTTTTTTTATGTTGTTGTTTTGTTCCTTTTTTAAAACTATGTTATCGTTTTGTTCCTTTTTTTAAACTATGTTGTCGTGTTTACAAGTCACAGACACAAAACACTCACTCTCTCTTCTTCAGTTCATTTCTCTCTGCCTCTCTCAGTCTCACCTCTCAACTCTCACAGTGAAACCGTGAAAGAAGCCGTAGGCCCCTAGCCGCCGGCCGCACTCGGCACTCCGCCTCTCTCCTCAGTCCTCCTCGCACGTCCGCCTCCGCCAAGCTCCTCAGTCTTCAGTCGTCCTCGCACCTCTGCCCTCCGCCGGCCGCCGCTCGGATCAGTCCAGCTATTCCCAGTCTTGGATCGGGGCGATCGGCACAAAGAGGTTTGGCTTTTGTTTCTCCACTTTCTATTTGCATCAAGCTTGGCCGATTTGCAAATTTTTTGTTTCACGTATTGTTGATGTTGATTTCAACGTGTTTGTTTGTTATTTAATTTAGTATTTGTTCATTTTTCCTCATTGTGTATTTGATAACTTAATTTAGTTGTTTTCTCTCTGCCTCTCTCAGTCTCAACTCTCACGGTGAAAGAAGCTTTTTTATGTTGTCGTATTGTTGTTGTTGAGGGATAACTTGAACAAATTGCAAGTTTGGAAGAGCGAATCAGGTTTTATTGAGGTGTTCTTGATGGGTAGGTACCAAATGAAGTTAGACTATGAAGAAGCTATTAGGAAAACAGTACTATATGCGGTTCTGTACAACCTTCTCAAAGTTGTATGAACAAAATTCTTGTTTTTCTCACCTTGAATTTGTTTGTGTAGTGTTAGTAATAACTAATAGAAGCAATGATTTATGATAAATTGGAGGTTATAGGACATCTCACAGTATCCTTGTCATTCAGTGTCTGGAAGGGCTCAACCTTTTAGTAAAGTATGCCTCCTGGAGTTTGGAACATAAATGTGCACAGTGCACTCTTATAAATTGTGTGGCGATGTCAGAAATGAAAATTCAGAGTTTACCCTTCCGTCCAATTTCTCCGACTGAAAGATAGATTCTTGAACAGGTTGATATAATATTTGGATAGAACAGATTTTTTAACAAGTTGATATTATAATATATCTGTGCTCTATGGTCCTATTGTCTTCATCAAGTCAGATATAGATCTGTGCTCTATGGTCCTCGGATGAAGATGAAGGGGAATAGGAGGTTTATGAGAAGTTGGAAATGAGCTTCACTATTTAAAGTTGAACTTTTTATTTAATTATGCTTTGGACTTCTTAATTTCTTATGCCAATTTAGATGTTTTTTACACTTGCGTTGTTGACCTTGACTTTATATGTGGACTTTGAACATTAGTATTAGTACTTTGGATTTTGGATTTTGGATTTGGATATTTTGTGTTTGTGCAATTATCAATTTGGATGTTGTGCTTTTTATTCATTTATTGTGATTACATGTTTGCATTGAAGGAAAGTTTTACATTTTTTCGTACTTTTTGGTAAAAAATGCAACTAAAGATGTTGGTAACCTAATGGTTAACTGAGGTCACCTTCCTGATTACCAAAACTGAAAAACCGACCGAAACCGAAGTTCGGTTAACCGAACCGAATAATGTTGCATGCAGTTTGGTTTTGGTGCCCGCTTTTAGAAAACCGACATAGTCGGTTCGGCCACCAAACCGACTAAAACTGACGGTTTTTAACCGACAAACACCCCTATTCAAAAGTATTTGGCTATTAAATCAAAACTTACTATAACGTCGTTTTTTTCATGTCGTTTTCATTTTGTGTCCATATCCAACACAAACGCCATGTAGCTGATCACAACCCCCTACATAAACAGAACGACGAAGCTGTTGAATCCCTCTTATTTGTATGCGCCCCAATTCGCCCGTTCCCATTTCTCTCCGTAAACTGAAAAAATGCAAATCAAAATTAGAGAGCGAAAACCCTAAATCTTCTCTAGAAAGCAATCGGCCATTCTCAATTCCGCTGTCCATTACTTTGGATGAGGTGGGTTGGGGTTTAAAGCTCAATACTTCTTTGTTTCCTTTCCTTTCTGTCAATGCAATTTGGTTTCTTTGTGGTTTTTCGGTTTTTTTTTTTTTTTTTTTTTTTTTTTTTTTTTTTTTTTTTTTTCCAGTCATATCAAGAAGTTTCTCCGATGATATATTAGTTCAGAAAAACCAGGCTTTTTTTTTTTGGCAATTCATTCACAATTGCATGCACCTTCTTTTTTCCCCTAATCTTCATTTATTGTCAACATTAACTCACATTCTGCTATACATTTGCTGGTTATCTGTATGTAATAATCTACGTTATTGTCTCGTATCATATTTATACTTTACTCTTAGATTTATTTTCCTTAATTTGACTGTGGTTTCAAGATAAGTATATTTTTCTATTTATTTTCCTTAATCATGCCACTAATTTATTATTTATATCCTAATTATGCTTTTCATTCTCAGATAATTGTCCTCATGTCTTATTTCTTCTTCCAGGCAATTTGATAAATCTTTTATGTATTGTTTTTACGATACATGATTTATCCTTATTTGCTTTTTGGATAGAAAGATGCATTTTTAAAAACAGTCAATCATGGCAGTGACCGTGAATATATATATATATATATATATATATATATTTGCTCTTTCTTGATAGAGATATATTTTTGAAAACAGATACTAGGGTGAGATTGTTTAGGTGTAGAAGATGAACCCTTCAGCTGTAGCCTCTTCAAAGCAGAAAGCTGGTGCCTCACAGCCTTCAGAAACTTCATATAAGCGCAAGCGAGGAGTTTTTCAGAAAGAATGTAAGCTTATGAAATTTATGAATTCGCTGATAAGGTATATTGTACATTACAAAGTTGTGCGTACCTAATTATGATTTTTTTTTCTGCAGTGCAGCATATGATGTATGGTTTTGGAGATGATCCCAATGTGAGTTTCACTATCCGACTTAACACATTCATTAAGTCTATGTATTTATTTATTTATTTTCCGAAGGGTTAACGTCCATATGTTTATACTTTAAAATGCATTTGTTTAAAATGCAATAACAGAAAGTTAAATGTTGCTGGCTTAGAAATATCTGCTAGATGAATGACATTAGAGCACTTTTATTGATCACCAGGCGTGTCAGTGAAAGAGAAATTGTCACATAGGAATTAATTGAAGAACTGGATCTTTTACCCTGTTCTACGGCAGTGATAAGTAGTATTTTTCATGAAATTAGGGTCATTTGTGATTTTCCATGCTTAGGTTATATGACGAATGGCCATCTCCTCAATGTAATTTGTTATCTACCTGTGTTGCCAGCCTCTTCCAGAGAGTGTGGCACTTATGGAGGACATAGTTGTGGAGTATGTGACAGATTTGGTAAGCTCTTCTTTGTAAGTAATCGCGTTTTTTGCGAAGCAGGACGGTTATGGAGGGTTCTAGACCAATGCTTTTGATTTCCTGCAGGTTCATAAAGCACAAGATATTGGTTCCAAGAGGGGAAAGCTATCAGTTGAGGACTTTCTTTACTTAATCCGCAAGGTAGAATTTTCATTGTTATATTTAGTTTGTGCACAAACTATTCAACAAGATAACTTCTTTGTTCTTACTTGTCATATCTTTTTTTTCCCCTCAAAATCTCATAGTCATGCAAAAGCCAGTTTTGTTGTAAAGATAGCTGATTTGTTTCAATGAGGAAAAAGAAAAAAGAACAAAGAAAGAACTGCATTTGTTCTTGGTTCTACTTTGATCAGTTTGTTCTTTTTGCTTCTGTGGAAAACCAATAACCAAACTGTTGACCCTCCAGGACTATCCAAAACTCAACCGCTGTACAGAGTTGTTATCAATGAACGAGGAACTGAAACAAGCTAGGAAAGCTTTTGAGACAGATGAAGAGAAGCTAAGGAAGGCTTTTGAGGCAGACGAAGATCAAAAGTTGACGTCAACAGAGTGAATATACTTGTGTTCTCGTAGGTTCATGATTGGTAAATGATAAAATTCCATTTAATTCTTCTGCCATAGCTGAAACTTCAACTCGATTCTTATCGCATCTGCCCGATGAAATTGTTGGCTTCTATTTCCTTAAGATTAGGAGCACTTTCATGATTCTAGGCTCATATTGATGTAAGATGCATAAAATCTTTTTTTTTTTTTTTTTTTCTAAAGCGTAAAGACATGGTTTTTTTAAGTTTTTTATGGTTTTAAAGGTAAAAAAATTTTTTTTTTTTTTTTTTTTTTCTAAAGCGTAAAGACATGGTTTTTATTTTAGACGACACAAATCTTATCCCTTAAACGACGTACCATTCTTCTGCTAACGGCATTTTGTTCCTTAGTGCGAACGACGCCAGGCTTAAAAACGACAGTTTTAACGCCAATTTGCAGTTCAAAATGTATTGTTAATACGATACTCCTTTACGTAAACATCACCCTTGCGGACTGAAAATGACAAGTTGAAGTCGTACCAGAAGAAACTAAGCGGCTTGTCGTGCGTTGGAACAGGTGACATGAAGTCACGCACATATAAAACAAGTAGTATTCCACTTATATTACAAATAGGATTTACCTATTTATACAAAACGACCACTTATATTACTCTGTGTTTAGAATTTGTCTATTATTCATCGATATTATTAATCTGTCTTATAGATAATAATATTTCAAATATACCTTTTTGTGTAAGTGGTTATGAGTGATTGACAAAGGATAGGAATGTCCTTACGGGTAGGGTTGGCAATTCGTGTTTGCGTGTCGTGTTCGGGTCGATACAATTATAGCACGACACGATATACGAACACGACACGATTATAGTAAATACGAACACGACACGATTAATAAACGTGTCAAAAATCTAAACACGAAATGATAATAACACGGTTAACATGACATAACACACGAACCCGATTACTAAACGGGTCGTGACAGGTCGACACGAAAAAAACACGTTTATGACCCAACTAGCAAAAATAGTGAAATTTTACATTGTATTCAAAACTAATATTCAAAAAAAAAAAAGAATCAATCAGACTTCTATTTGGGTTATGATATAGACACAAACTCTAAAAACTCAAATTTAAGCAGTCTTAATTGAAAAGCTACAGGATTCACTGCAACCACAACTCCAGAAAGATGAAATTCCGTAGTAATTAAAATTCTCTCAGAATTGTCTCAAATTACTCTCATCTAAGCATCTATAAAACAAAGTTCAACTACAGACCAAAAACTCATGACAAGCACCTATCTACACATTCCAACCGAAAATGAGATAGACGCCTCAGGACAAGAAAGAAAGCAAATATCTTTAAGTTTTTAGTTGAAGAGACTGAAACCCATATCCTCATCAGACTCCTCTTCCACCTTCCCTTCCTTCTTGCAAGTAGATAAATAAAAAGAAATGCTAATAGAAATTCAAACAGACCATTCGAATAAGAGTTTACCGGAACGAGGTTAGCACAGCTGAAAATGAGAGAAGCGATTCTGATCTAAGAGAAGAGGCAAAGGAGAACGGAGAAAAGTGAGTAAGAAATTGAAAATTAAGGCCGGCAAAAAGCAAGGGAGAAAAGTGAGCGGCTAGGATTAGGACTTGGAAGAAGTGAGTGAGAAATTGAGAATAAGCTATTAGGGCCGGCTATTTAAGTTTCGGACAATTTTTTAATTTTTTATAAATTTTTTATTTTTGTATATGGGTTATAAACGGACGGACCGTGCCGTGTCGTGTTGACCCATATAACTAAACAAGTTAAGCGTGTTAAATAGACTGGCACGAATCTAACTCATTTATTTTCGTGTCATTCATGTTAACCCGTTAACGACCCAATTAATAATTGTACAATCTAAATCTATTTATCTCGTGTCATTTTCGTATCATTTCATCGTTTTATGATTATCTGCCCTATTTACGGGTTATGTTACAGATTTATGTGCAAATATCACCACTTGTGGACATTCATTTTTTTGAACTCCTGCATAATGGACATGTGTAATTAACTTTATAGTTTGCGTAAATTATGTGCCTCATGCGGCAAAAGTGTAGTTCACCGAGAGTATTGCAAGGATTAAAGAGAAGAAAAAAAAAGATCCTTTTATAATTTAATGCGTTACTACATATCAATAAACAAAAATGGGGAAAAGCCTCGGGGACTGTCAATTCCTGTAATGTGCTCATCATATTACAATGGGAAAACTTTTTTAACCCATAACAAACATTAGCCTATGCCCCCTAACCAAGAATTTCCTTGATCTTCGTCTTTTGGTCCTCAGTTAAAGACGTGGGGAATAAAACTTCAAATGTGACATAGAGATCTCCTTTCTTTGTGCTAAAATGCAAAGGCATCCCTTCCCCTTTGAACTTTCTCACTTCCTTAGGCCTAGTAACTCCCTGAGTAATCATGCAAATTATGTGCAATAAGTTGCATTAGCCCACTTTTTAAGATGGAAAAATAGAAAAGCCATGAGACTCGAAGGGTAAGATATGCGTACCTTTGAGCTGACATCTACTAAATGATCATCAAGGTGTTTGAGCGTTTTCTCAAAACCAACAAGAGCTTGAACCTGGAAAGAAAGAAGGCATTTAAAAATAAACACCTCATGGAAACAAATACCTGCCTGGATAAAATAAGTTAAACCACGCATAGTCTGCCCGTGCCTATTATCATTTATCCACCAGAACAAGCTATTGCACACTTGTTTTCTATACAGGTAACTACATTTTTCATGAACCTCTTGGACGGTCTACTAATTCCCTACAGATTTTGCGTGAGCTATAGTCTAAATAAGTGCCTCCCTCAACGATTATCAACTCCACAAGGCCATTGATCCAAGAGCATAATAATTTAGAGATCTGCGGTGATTATTGATCCAAAGTGCCAAAAGAAACTAAGAGCCCGTTTAGTTCATGCGTTCAAATCAGTGATTCTTGATTCTGGCATTTGAAATTCAAATTTTTTGTGAAAGGAAAATACTGTAGCAGAATTTAAAACCATGGGTTTAAACGCATGAAACAAAGGGGCCCTAAAACTAGAGGCTAGGGTTTAAACTTGGTTTAATCACACATACAATTGCTGAATGGAGTTTTTATTAAAATTAAGGAACTTCAAGTAGCGGTAAGAGCGTTATACGTACCAGTGTTATGGTGACAATTGTGTGTAGGTCATTGCCCTCTCTTCTGAAGACGTCATGAGGTGCAGTGCGGATTCGGAACTGCCATAAAAACGAGTTAATTATTGTCAGTAATATACTACGACTTTACAAACTAAATGCTTCTTTACCAGTTAACAAGGCTTAAAGAACTAACCTTTAGATCTCCAGGTTCTCCGTCTATTATAGGCTCACCATCTTCATAGAAGAGAACCTCCTGAGGGGAAAAATTAGTGGTATCAGATACGTTTCTTATAACAAATAAATAAATAACCTTCCAGATTGTATTGTACAGCAGACATTCACAGACCTTAGATATTAAATATTTGATGAGAGAAAAAGAAAAAGTGGACAAGACCCACAAGGTAAGATGGAAATAGAATTGGAGGGGGAAAATCAGAGCACACACTATCTAACATCGTCAAATACTTGAATTGAAAGGTGACGTTTTAAAACTTACTTGTCCATCTTGCATCCCTTTTTCAATATCAACGGTCACAAAATATCCTTCCCGTTCAAATTTGACATTTTGGCATTGCTCACAGACCTGAAAGTGCATATGATAGCAAACCAAAAGAACATTAACCATACTAACATAGTAATCAGTAATGTGGTGGCAGAACAAAACCGCTCATACAAAGTCAAATTTTACGGATTCACTGAGATTTCTTTAGAGAACACTTAGTTTGAAGCCTATCAAATATGAAATATCTGAGTCCTTCTAAGACACGCTTATAATTTTCACAATGCTTTTGACAAGAAAATGCTTGGTAAGTAAATGTACCTGTTCTGTCATCTGTTGGAACATCCCTGGACCAATTTGCCTGTGATAGACTTCATTTCTGCAATTACAACGTCTCTTCCCAGGTGCTGGCTTTATAACGTTCTTCTCCCGCCAAACCTAATAAGAAGCCCACGACAAGCCTCCCATTAATGAAGAAACAAATAAAAATAACCAATTCAAAAGTCTTTGAGTAACAATAAATGCATAAATAAAAGCACACACCATTTCATTCTAATGGAAAAGCATTATATAATCGTTCTAAACATGAAATGCGAACACAAACATAATCGTCAAAAACATGATCGTATTCCTCAACCAAATAAGTACGACATAGCTAGATTAGTTTCTTACCTTCAGAGATCCTCCCATATACAAATCTTCCAGTGTCGCGTCCAATTCGACAACAACATCATCACCTTTTGCGATCCTCTCTTCCTCCTCTGCAGTACCGCCACCAAACAAACTAGGGGAAACATCCGCATTACAAAGCAAGTAAAAGGACAAACATGGAAAAGTCAAGTGATTGCAATGGAAAAGAAAAGCAAGTAAAAATGCAGACACCTCTAATTCCATAGTGATTACTATTTACAAAAGCAAGTAAAAATGCAATCCTTTTTCATTTCAATAAATAACGTAAATATAGACATCCCTCTAATTCCATTGTGATTGCTGATCACAAAAGCAAGAAAAAATACAACCTTTTCTTCTACTTTTTCAAATCCAAATTTTCTATTTAACTCATCGACTTACTTGGAAAATATGTCGTTGATGTTCATGCCTCCACCTCTGCCACCTCCACTAGCGGCATGTTGTTTCAGTCCCTCTTCTCCATACCTATCGTATATGTTCCTCTTCTCGCTATCAGACAGAACCTCGTACGCTAATCAATCAGAGCAAAAATTAATATAAAAAATAATCTCTAAACAGTAACTGATCCAATATTTCAACGATTAAGAAAAGGAAAAGAGAGAAAAACAACGAAATACCATTGTTGATTTCGGCAAATTTCTTGTTAGCCTCTTCGTTGCCCTGATTCTTATCGGGATGGTACTTCAACGCGAGCTTCCTATAAGCTCTCTTGATCTGCTCGTCCGACGCTCCCTTAGGCACCTGAAGCACGTCATAAAAGCTCTTTCTGCAAAAAGATTTCACACAAAAACCCTAGAACACATTAGCATTAATTCAGCATTCACACGCAAAATTACAGACAACAAGACGCAAAATTTCCGAGAATTTAACGAAGAAGAAGAAAAATGGCACCCGGCAATGGCGGAGAGGGCGTAGCAGAGAGCGCAGAACAAAAAGAGAAGCTTTGATCTTCGATGCGCCATCGAAGAATATTTGAAAGCTCCGATCCAGAGAGAGTTTGTTTAGGATCTCTCAGAAGGAGCCTGGGCTTCGGCAATACCAATTTCTTCAGTGTTTGATTACCGAGGAAATTTTTTCTCGGAAACTGAAGGCTCTGGGAATCTTCGTCTTCGTAAGGGTGGCTTTTGGCTCTGGTTGTTCTGTCGCCGGAGCTGGGGGTGGAGTTTGTTCTGTCATACGAATTAGGGAATGTCCCAAAAGAAGAGGGTTGACGGACTTTTGTGACTGCGATATGCAACGTGTTTTCGTCCAAACTAGCCAATCAGACGAGAGCTTATGGTTGTTCCAACCAATAGAAATACGCCATTTGGACACTTGTTGTAATGCGGTTTACCGTGAACTGGACGCAGAAGACCGATTGGAAAGGATTGTCAAACGACGTCGGTTTGGTAGCTCCAATAGAGAATGTTTACTTTTTACTCTTTTTTTCCGGTAAAATTTTTTTTTACCGTTGGATTACTTGTTTAGTAGTTTTATGATTGGAAACAATATTACGCCGCATACTATAAATTTTTAACGTAAGGGCTTGAAATTTTAATTTAAAAATTTCTTGTCGCTAGGAAAAAAAATCAACGCAAAATTTCCTCCATAATAATATCATATGACATATAAAAAGGACCCTTTTCACCAAAAGGAAAAAAAAATCTAAAAGAGCAATAATACTTTTTTCTCTTCTTTTTTCTTCTTATTTATTAATTAAGTTAAGTGAGACCGCCAACGAGATTGATAATATATATATATATATATAAAGCACAAAATTAAATAAGCAGATTTATGTTTTCAAGTGTATGGGCTTATAAGGCTTACTTTATAAAGATAATTACACTATATGACAAATTTTCATATATTGAGTTAAAATTTAACAAAAATATTATAAATATAACAAAACATAATCATTATCATCGTATTAGTTACTGTAAAAGAGCTCCGAACGCTAATGACGGACTAGCATGCCCTCATTTGTGAATGATATCATATTATACTATACAACGATATCTTCATTATTTTAATAGTATTAATGACATCTTCATTATTTTAATGATGTTAAGATTTTAATATTTTTAAAATGTTGCTATGTTTAAACTCTGGAAATTTTGCTATATGGGTAAAGAGCCATAATTTATATTGAGGTCAGGGTTGAACTTTCAAGGCTCACCCTATTGTAATCCCTAGGCTTTTCAACTGTCAAGGTTACATAGATGGGTCACCTATCTGAGTCCATAAGATAAAGCTCAGCCCAATATAAGTTTGGGCTTTCAAGCTCTCAAAGCCCACATAAACCAGTCAAATACAAAGCTCAATCCATATTCCCAATAGGGAAATAGTAGAAAATATGCCAATATAAAAAGCTTAAGAAAGTATATAAGTCAATTTTTAGTTATAAAAATTAATAGGTCATAACTTGTCAAGTTATGGTTCATAATCAGATAAGTTATGGACAAACTTATCAAATTATGGTTCATAACCAGACAAATTATGGACAGTTATGGACAATAACTTGTCAAGTTATGGTTCATAACCAGACAAGTTATGGACAAAAACAGTAATTTAGCCTATTTATTAACTTATGTAAACTATTGATCTATTAATTTTAATTCAACTCAAATCTTGACATATTTTCCTCTTTCTCTCATTCCTGTAATCTTTCGGCCTTTGGGAGAAGATGCAGAAGATAAAGGCTCAACCCGATATAAGTTTGGGCTTTCATGCTATCAGAGCCCATATACACCAGTCCCATACAAAGCCCAATTCATATTCCCGTAGCTTTCGGCCTTTCGGTGAAGAATGAATGTCTCAACTAATTAATATTTTTTTAATAAATATTTCAAGAATCCATCCTTATTAAATATATTGTTTCACTAATTTAAATCGCAATTAAAATTTTTATTATAATATTTTTTTTCAGATGAATTCACTTTTTAACTCGAGTCTTCAACTTAAATGAGCCAAATGAAAGGGGCTTACGGTGCATGTTATTTCATCGATTGATTTTTTTTTTTTTTTTGGCCCTAAAATCAGGTTTTTCCAGTGAAGATGGATAGTTGACAATAGAAGCAGCTTTTTTTGACTTATTTCTCACCGATTTCACGTGGACATGGTAAGCTATGGGATATGGGTTGGTCGAATAACATGTTAAGTTAGGATATAGTCTTACATGAAGGAAAACCTCCATAAATTTCACGTGCTCGTTTTCTGTTTGATTACTTTTGCAATATATCACTATTTGTAATATATAATTAGTTGTTAACACTACATATCCACAAGCATGGACATGTATGTCAATATTAATTATCTTTTAGTGCTCATTGACTCTTCAAGAGGCATGCTTTCTTTGGTTTTATTTCACTTAGAACCTCCGTTAAGAATTTCAAACTCCCATTAAAAAAGGTCTGATGAGGAAAAAGATTAAGGAGACGTTTGATTTATGAATTAAAATTATGAGATTATAACTATTTTTTATTTACGTGTATTTTTTATAAGAGAAAATATTGTAGTAAATCATAAATCATGATTCGAATCAGGGTACGAATCCCTCAACCAAACAATCCCCTAATAAAGATGAAATTAGGAATGGATAGAGACATAATTTGGATTTTTTTTTTATTACTTTGAAAATTTTGTTTATGTGTACGGTTAATGTTTGGTTTTAAAATGCTATTTCTATTTATCATTAAGAGGTTTTAATGTAGTTTTATCGAAGAGTAAAATAAAGATGCATTATGGTTTTACGAGGTTATTCGTGAATACAAATAGAACCATACTAAAAATAAATTAAAAATTTATTAAAATCCGGAGAATAGTGGAGACAAAATATCAAGCACCGCACATTTGTCTGATAACAAAGTTACTCTGTGACTAGCCCCTACCAAAAGTTATAACCACGTATGTACGCTATATGCACTTATTTTTTAGGATTAATGTTTCATAAAATTTATCCTCAATCACATTTTGATCTATAATTTCCAAAGTTGGTCTTTGAAGTTGTAAACCTCGTTAATTTTATCGATTTGAGTTTTCAGTTTTAAGTTTTTACAGTTAAAAACTCTCAGAAAATATCACATGTAACTTTTTATGGGACAGTGAAAAGCTTTCAAAAAATGTTACATCTCAGCTCGAATTGAAAACTCAAATCCGCAAAGTGAACGAGGCCTTAGTTTGTTTCAATTTTGGTCATTTCGTTAATTAAGTGTTAAATATATAACGGAAACTGTGTATATTAAGTACCAAAACTGAAAATATCTAAAATTTATAAACTATTTATGAAAACCAACTTTTGTTTTTGCATTGTTTTAAAAACTTTAGAAGTTTCTAATGTTGGTACCTTATCTTCACAGATTTTGTCACATATTTAACATTTAGATAACAGAATGATCAAAATTGAAATAAAATAAAATTTTAAAACTAACTTTAAGATATTTTAAGAACAATTAATTAAAATAAGATTAAAGATAAATCTTAAAGAGTATTTACGAAACTAAATCTGTGTCTGTTTAATTTGCTGATTCGAGTTGAAATGTGACTTTATGTGAGAGTTTTTTATTGTACAAAAAAAGTTCAATGTGACTGTTTTTTAAAGTTTTTTACTGAATAAAACTCAAATTTTAAATTTAAATCGATAAAATGAACGAGATCTCTATTTGTTACGGGAACTTGATTGATGTAGCGCCTGCTGCCAGAAGGAAGAGATAATTTTTATCTTTAATTAAAAGAGATTATCTTTATCTCTAAATTCTAAGTTTAGATAATCTTTTATCTTTATCTTTAAATTTTAAGTTTAGATAGTCTCCTTATTTTTAAAATTAGAAAGAGATTAATTAGAGATAGTTTCCTTTTCGGTTTCGAATTGTAATTCTCTTTAAATAGTAGGATAGCTTGTTATTTTCATTATGGATATTTTGATAATAAAATCTTCAGAGAAGTTTTTTCTCCACTTTGCTTGTTTTTCGGTATTCTTTCGAATCAACGAATTACTCGCCTTCTGTTTTCTGGTATTTTTTCGAATCAACGGAATTGCGTAACACCTTTTTACGCTTCTGCTACGTCAATTGGTATCAGAGCCTTGCTACGCTCCTCTGGCATGCCGCCCCGACATCGCCCACAACCCGCCAACGATTGGGATGAACTCCACCAAACACTTGCCGAATTTCAGCAGAACATGCAGCAATCCATGTAGTAAGCTAGTCTCGCCGTCCTTCAAGCCAACAACCAGCCACCCGCTCCACCCGTTGTGCCCCCTCCGGATAACGTCCAAGATTCTGAAGACGAAGAAGGAGATGCTGACGTCAAAGAAAATCGATTTGCACCACTGCAAGCCATGCCTCCTTGCCATCGTGCTAACGTCACTGCACCACGTCAGGAAGACAACCGCCATTAGGAGTCGGGTTTCAAACTTGATATTCCCGAATTCCATGGAAGTTTCCAATCAGAAGAGTTTTTGGATTGGACTGGAGCCGTTGAAGAAATCTTAGAATTTAAGGAAGTCCCGGACAATAAAAGGGTTTCTCTTGTCGCTACCCATTTTCGAGGCCGAGCCGCCGCTTGGTGGCAACAACTCAAGGTCTCTCGTTCGCGTACCAGGAAAGAGAAAATCTCCTCATGGGAAAAATTGAAGAAGCATATGAAGCGCACATTCCTTCCGTATAATTATGTACGGACCATGTATCAACGCCTCCAGAATTTACAACAAGGCAATGGGACGTTGGATGAATACGCAACCGAGTTTTTCCTTTTGCTTACAAGGAATGAGATTAATGAAACTGATGAACAATCAGTTTCTCGAAGGACTTCGCCCACAATTTCAGAATATATTGAATCTCTTTGATTCGGCAACCGTCTCTGAAGCCCATCAAAGGGCGTTATTAATTGAACGACAGAATCAATCTGATGCCTCCCTTTGGAACTCGCCAGTCGCTGCTGCCGCTCGCACCGCCACCGCCGGCATCTTCACACAACCCCCTTCTACCACCCCTACACCAGCCGCCGCCGCCACAGCTCCTCCACTGGCGCTTCCTCGTCCAGCCACCACCGCTGACCCCATAGGTACAAACCGTCCTTCTCGTGGAGAATGTTGTCTCCGAAGAAGCCATTCGTAAATTGGCGTTAAATTCAAAAAATCATCCCACCCCTTACAAGCTCGCTTGGTTGAAGCAAGGATCGGAAGTTCAAGTTTCTCGCCGGGTTCTCGTTCCCTTTTCCATTGGAACTAACTATA